TACAAATCTGACAGTAATAAATGGCAACATACAATGCATACAGGAGTCATACAGAGCAACAAACTCATACAAAACAAAAATATTTTAATACCTGTAAAATCCAAATTTTTCTTCAAAATCATTCATGAAAAAGATTTTCAAGTCAGAATGAACACCTCAATTAGTCAAGCATCAGGAAGCTACATTATAATTATTTAATATACAAAGAGACATCCTTTTACTGGTCCTTTCTTTCCAATGTCGCTGCTTTGGAATCATACAGACTCTTGCTTCTCTGTATTTCCCCCTCCATCATTTCTTCTGATCATGAGGACTGAATTGATTGAACACCAGAAACCTGTTGATACGATGTGTAAACTATAACATTTTGTTGTTGACCATATGCAGCTACTAAGCCAGCTGGTAGCTGGTTAGTAAATGCCTCCTTGTTAGCTCTTCACTTAGTCCATCTGCAGCTGTGGCTGCTCTGCCGCTTCCTTTCTCTTTTCACTGCCTCTCAATTTCGAAAGGTATAATTTTAGAGGTTCTACATAACTGTCAAAGGCTAAGGTAGACATGGTAAAAAGAATATTTTCTCCATTGATTGTCTTCTGTTTCTCTTGATGGCATCTTTCACTTGCTTCAGGTGTTAATAAAGCTGATGAACTCACACATTCTTGAACACGCTCTTTGGCATCTTTTGCAATCTTTCCCGTGTGAGATATGCATTTTTAATGATCCTTGCCACATTTGTAATAGGAAGATATGTGTCTTGTTCTCTGAAACTTTCTTTTGAACCATTTGTGTCTTTGTGATCATTCTGTCCTCAGTGTATCATCATGAGGCTGTATAACAAGACTTCCTCCAATATAGTCTGCAGAAAGTCCTGGTTGAGAAGCATCTGTGGTAGAACTGTCACCATCCATTTTCATGAAATACTGTCAGAACCGTGTTGTTAGTGGTGTTCAAGAACTCACTCCAGTCTGAATCGGGGCCTAATCTTTGCCCCATTTCAACCTCCAGTGCAGCCCTGCTTGGCTCCCATCTCCAATCGGCTGTTTGGCTGGACAGAAAATGGCTGCGAGGGAACCAGTCCCAGCGTGGGGCTCCGCTTCCAGCACTCAGCATCCGCTTTTTTTGTTATAATTAATTGACTATATATAGGTGTGGGTTTATTTCTGGGTTCTATTTTTGTTGTTGTTGATCCATGTGTCTAGTTTCTTTTTGTTTGTAAATAAGGATTGTAGTGCCATTGGCGGAATCCCAGCCTATGCCCAATCCTCGCTAGGGGAGGACCTGAGACTTACTGGCCCCTTAGATTTGCAGCTGGGCCCTGGAGCCCCTCTGGTTTGGTACGAGGACACTGCTCCACCTGGAAACTGAGTCTGGACTTCCCTGTGCACAGCTGTACCCCACTTGAGTTGGCAAGTTGGCTATGCAGAATCTTGAATAATTTGAATAATTTCAAGATTCTGCATAGCCAAAACAAATTTGGCTCTGGCTGGTGTGGCTCAGTGGATTGAGTGCCGGCCTGCGAACCGAAGGGTTGCTGATTTGATGCCTGGTTAGGGCACATGCTTGGGTTGAGGGTCAGGTCCCTTGTAGGGGGCACATGAGAAGTAACCACATATTGATGTTTCTCTCCCTCTCTTTCTCCCTCCCTTACCCTCTAAAACTAAATAAAATCTTAAAAAAAAAAAGAAAAAAAAAGAGCGCTGGCCTGAGAACCAAAGGTTTGCTGGTTTCATTCCTGGTTTAGGGCACATGCCTGGGTTGCAGGCCAAGTCCCCACTAGGGGATGTGGGAGAGGCAACCACACATTGAGGTTTCTCTCCCTTTCTTTCTCACTCCTTTCTCCTCTTTCTAAAAATAAAATCTTTAAAAGAAAGAAAATATTTTTTAAAAACTCACCAAACTTGGAACAGAATCTAGAGCCCAGATATAAACCTTCATATACATGGCAAAGTGTTTTTCTACAAGGGTGCCAAGACCACTTAATGGGGAAAGGACATACTTTCAACATATTGTATTGGGAAAAGTGGCAAACTGAAAGTAAGGCATGAGGATTCCGCGCATACAGGGACCAAGGCAGAGTCCCTGAGCGAGCTCAGTCCACAGGTGACCAGCCCTGAGTGGCATTGCTAATTTGGAATATTTTAACCATGGAAGGGGCAGTGTATTGTTCTTCCTGGGATAGACACTTACTCTGGATACAGATTTGCCTTCCCCACATCAATGCTTCTGTCAAAACCACGACGCATGGATTTGGAGATGTCCTATCCGCTGTCACGGTGTTCCACACAGCATTGTTTCTGATAAAGGAACTCATTGCATAGGAAATGAAGTGTGGCCATGAGCAAATGCTCATGGGATTCACTGGTCTTCCCATATTTCCCACCGTCCTGAGGCAGCTGGACTGATATGACAGCAGAATGGGCTTTGGAGGATAGTCAGTGTCCTCTGGGTCGCTTTGCCTTGCGGGTCTGGGGCGATGTTCTCCAGGAGGCTGTGTGCGCTCTAAATTAGAGTTCATCATATGGCACTGATTTTCCTGTAGCCAGGGTTTTCCAGGGATCGAGGGTGGAAACAGGAGTGGCGCCGTTCACTGTTGCCACTGTGACCCCCTAGTGATCCATTAGCAGCATTTTGGCTGCCCATCATGTGACTTTATGCTCTGCTGCCCTAGTGGCCTTAATTCCTGACCGAGTCTTCGACCAGGAGACACTTTGATTTCACCGAACTGGCAGCTAAGCCTGTCCCTGACCACTTTGGTGCCCTCAGGCCTTTGAATCAGCTGGCAAAGGATAAGATTTCAGTACTGACAGGGGTGACTAATCCCGATTACCAAGTGGAAATTGGTCAGCTGCTCCGCTATGAAGGTAAAAAAAAAACACAAAAAAACAAGGTCTGCCATTCAGAATATTTCTTAGGGTATCTTGGTAACACCATGCTCTATGATTAAAGTCAATGGAAAAATACAAGAAACCAATATCAGGATAACCTATCGCCCAAAGATTTCAGGAATAAAAGTTTGGGTCATTAAGTTAGGCAAAAAAACATGACTAGCTGAGATGCTTGCTGATATGAATAATGGAAGCAGTTACTGGTGGTTGCAGATCCCACCTGTGAAAAGCTACAACCGCCCCCCCCCCCACATGAATTATATATATAATTTACAGAAAGTGAAAAAAACTGGCGAACTAAATCTTTGCTGCAGATGTGGGCTCCTTCTTAACTCGCAGAGAACTTTGATCTTTTCACCCTGCAAGCCCGCCCCCTTAGCTCCTTGTTAACCTCCATTTCCACCTTTTCTCATGCTGCACTACCTCCAGGGCCCACCAGGGGGCAGACACTCCCACTAACAAGACCTTGACCTGGGCCGGGCTCTGGGCTACAGAAAAGCGGGGACTGGAACTGAGGCCAGAGGCTTTTCAGCCTAGTCCTCTCTGATGACAGATAGGGAGACTGAGGATGAAATCTGCCCAGTACCGAGAGCTCAGGGTTCAGTGCGGGGCTTTCTGCTTCCTAATAGTATCCTGACCCCTCATGCCCACCTTGAGACTCACCCCCTGACAGTCGTCCATCACACTGTCCAGCAGCTGCAGGTAAGTGAGGATGGTGCTCGAGGAGGAGGAGGAGGGCGCCCTGTGCCTTCAGTGCCGGGCGGTGAGGAGCAGCCACTCAGCCTTGGCCTCCTGCCCCCACCCCCACTCCAGGGTCCCCGCATGGACCTGCCTAGGACCCTTAGCAGCCTTTTCTTCATTTCGCCTTCTCTTCCCTTCCAGGGCACCAGAACCACTCCAGTCACCTCCAGGACCAGCTTTGAACAAATTCCAAAGTAAATGGTTCCTGCCTGCCCGCACCTCCGTCCCCCCGATTCATCCTGTATCCCGCTCTTCCAGGCCAAGAGCAATGCAGGCCTCCCAGGCTCCGTGGCACCAAGGCACCGGGCGCTGGGCTGGAGAGGGAAGGCCTGCTCTCTGAAGCGGGCCTCCAGCGGGGACCGAGGGGGGCCACTCCGGGGCCCTTCCCCCACAGGCACGCTTTTATTTAAAAGGCAAATCACTTTTATCTAAGTAGCCAGAAGATCCGACCAGCCTAGATGAGGGTTTCACTGGGTCCCCTGAGCCCGGAGGTCTCGTGGGACTGGGCAGGGGGCGCTCATGTTGCCACCTGGGGCCTCCATTCCCACTTCTACAAAGCAGATCTGTTTCTACCAGTGTTGGTTTCAGGACAAAGTTCTCCTGATGCAAAAGATGCACTTGAAAATCTCCCGTTTGGCTCAGCTCGGGGTCTGACGTTTAATGAATGTGGTTCCTGAAGCAGGACCGCTGACCTAAAGTCCGGGGAGAACCAGAGACCCCGCCAACCAGGTCAGGCCCCGCCCCCAGCCTGCTGCCTCCCAGGAGGTCCCAGCTGACTGAGGGCAGTGCCAGTGACACAGGGGCTCCTGGTCCACCCGGGAGCTCGGACGGAGAGCGGCCTACACACCAGGGCACTGTCCCAGGCCTTCTCCAGACGGCGAAGCGAGGGGCTTTGCCGACCAGATGCAACGACATGTGAGGAGGAGAAGTCCCCGAGGGCTCGGCTGAGAGGGGGGAACTAGAGCACGCTGCTGCCTGTGGCTTCTGTCCCCTCGCTGACTCCTCCTGTCCTGGATGACACAGAGAGCCGAGAGAGGGCACACCTGGGACCCGAGGAGTAACCCTCCCAGAAGGGAGAATTCTAGCTCAGCCCAAGGAAAGAGCCAGTAGGAGGTGAGCCTCCAGCAGTGGGGCTGGGAGTCAAGGGGGCCAGACCCCAGCCTCCAATCCTGAGAGCAGGGAAAGTGAATGTGAATTTCCCAGGGCTCCATAGATCCCTGGGCCACCTTGATCCACAGCTCCACCACCCTGTCCCTGTCCTGGGCCACCATACTTGGGTCCCCGAGAAGTGTAGTAATGACACAATTGGCCACGTTGTTGAAGAGGGAGACAGTGGCACAGATGGGGCACCAGGTGTTCATTGCCCCTGCTGGTCCCATGGGGACAGATGGAAGCCCAGCAGTGAAGGGGTGCCACCTTCTTGAACAGATCCTGAGAAGGACAGGGAGGGTCGCCAAACCTCATAGGACCGGCTCAGCATCCACAGTCCCCGGTGGGTCACTAGAGCCCATGAAGCTGAGCATGTGGCACGTGGAGTGAGCTTTGTGGGAATTTTTGTTTTGTTTTTCCTTTGTCCACTGAGGGCCCTGGCTGGAAAGGGAGAGTGACATTTGCACCAGCCCAGCTTCATTTCCTCTAAGTGCCAGATGGTGGCTCACCCCTGCCCGTTCTAAGCGGCAGCTTCCGCCCATTCTGATGACTCTTCTACTCAGACTCCCCCTTCAGATGCACATTCTTTTGTGGCAGCTAAAACCAGGGGCTTTGTTTGACTCTCATGTGGACAAGTATACACTGGGTGCCTAATAAGTGCCCAGGCTCTTGATGCCCCCTGGGCAAATGGGTGGCTGACCCAAGGACCAGGCAGCACCTCAGGGAGCCGCCCTCCCTCATGAGCAGGTGGGGCCTTGCCCACCTTCTCTCTGTGCCACCTCATCGATGTGCTTGGCCCCTCTGCCTGCCAGGTCCTCTCAGTGTCCAGCTCTACTGTCCCTGTGTGGACACTGAAGTCTTGGGGGTTAAGAAAGTTGCCCAGGTCACACAGTAAGAAAATGGGGGATCTGGGATTTGGGCAAAATCATACATTCCAGATCAGCAAATGGCAGGTATGGGGAAGCTGATGGCAAAGGGAAGGCCTGTCACCCCAGCCCAGAGGCTCACTGCATCCATCAGCGTCAACCACCCCGCCGCCAGCTGAGGAGGGAACCCGAGAGGTTAGGCTTCCTCTTGCTCAGTGGGTTCTTGTGGTCACAGCCCCGGGGCCAGAGGCTCTGGGGCTGAAGCTGGCTCTGTCGTTACTGGTGCAGCTGGAGAGGGAATTTGCTTTGAAGCCAAAGGTCCAGCTGGCTCCAGCTCAGCAGCGGGCCCTGGGGCTGGAGCTGATGTTGGCACTCACTCCAGCTCCACAGGGACTGATGGAGGTGACATTGGCTCCGGCCCTTGCACAGGTGGCAGAATTAGAGCTGGAGCTGGCGCTAGCCCGGGGCTGGTCCTTGCTGTGGCGCTGGCGCTGGTGTGGAACATGCCTGACTTTCCCTGGGCTTTTCCGGAGTCAGAAAAGATGCTACCGCCTTAGAGGGAACTCCAGCCCCTGGCCCCACCTCAAACAGTTTTCCCATCACCACGAGCCACGGGAAGGATCGAGGCCTGGAGCTCACCCAGGAGCTCCCAGCCACTCAGGGTTGTGTGCGGAAGGACAGTAGTGGCCAAGCTGAAAAAGATTCTGGGCTTTCAAAGTATAATTTGAGTTTAGGGGGCAGGGAAGGATTATGTAATCATTCCCTTTAAGACTTTTTTTTTTGGTCTGAGGAAAGGCCTGTGTGCATTAATAGTCTGTATTAAGAGCATTGTCCCAACGAACAACCCAATTATAGAGATGAGAAAGCAGTGGCTTAGGGATGTCAAGTGACCGCTCAAGACCCTGCAGGACTAGGCTGGGAGCTGTCCAGAGCAGGGCTGCGCCATGTTCCCTCTGGGCCACTGAGGCTTCATCTGCCCCTGCCGGGGACCGAAAGCTTCTGAGGAGCGTCACCCCTCCCCTGTTTGGGGACCTTGTACAGGGCAGACACACTCTCTGAGAGCCCTCTTAATTTCCATAAGAATGCAGATCGTTCTTCCTTTTATATTAAATTGCGTTTTGAGACCCTCTTTATGGAGGTTCCAGATTTAGCAAAGGGACGACTGCTTGGAGATTTCAGGAAGGAAGACAGTCCATCCCATGGAAAGGATCTGGGCAGATGACTCGGAGAAGAGTACATGGTAAACAGCTGACAGGTGACAGAAAGTATCACTGGGGCCATTGCAAATCAAGGACAACCATGACAGCATTGGACAACCTGACACCACGTTGGTTTCAATTTTACAAAATGATAACTTCCAAGTCGGGCTGAAGGCGAGGAAGCAGCCACCACCAGAGAGTACAGGGGACAATGTCACTGCAACAGCCTTTTCTGTTCGGAATCTGGCTGTGGCTTCGTATCCATGAAAATGTTACACATGCATAGCCTTCCACCAGCAGTCCTCTCCCTGGGCCACTCTTCAGCCACGGATTAGTGTGTGTTAAGAGCTGAATTTTGTCTCTCAAACTCACGTGTCGATGTCTGAAGGCCAATGACCTCAGAATGGGCCTGTACAAATACATGGCCCTAAAGGAAATAAGGTTGAGTGAGTTCATTGGGGTGGGCCCTAATCCAATATGACTGGTGTCCTTATAAGAGCATGTAGGGTCACAGAGAAGCACAGAGATCAAAGCCGCTCCTTTACAAGACAAGCAGAAGGGCCTCTGGAAGAACCGGAACTGCTTGCACCCTGATCTAAAATTTCTAGCTTCCAGAACTGTGAGAAAATAAATGTTTGTTGTCTACCCCAACCAACATGGAACTACGTTATGGCAGCCCGAGTAAATTAATAGCGCCCGTCAGGACACAGAGGTTCCCGACAGGCCTGCAGACACAGCGACTGAACTGACTCAGGCCGAGGGGAAGCGGCGCTGGGAGACCACATCAGTGCGGCTGACAGCCTCCCTGTGGGACATCATGGGGCAAGCGAGGCCCCAGCTCCTGGCCGTGGGGAGCCCTGGTCTGTGAGATGACAAGTTGCACAGAAACCTATGCAATAGTTTAATCGTTTTCCTTTTCATGTACAAACCATCCTATTAAGTGTGATGTGTGTGAGGCTTGGAGAAGTTCTGAAGGGACAGTGAAACTGACTGCTACACAGGACACCTGGGGCAGGTAGTTCAAACAATCAAAACAGCAGCAAAATACAAGATGCTCATGGCCTAGGGTGAAGTCAAACAACATACCGCTTCTTCTAATCTCACAAATATGTGAGGGCTGCTCTCTACCCTTTCACGTAGCTGGTGGTGGGGAGAATGGAGGGTCGGGTTCTTCTGGGAGTGGGACAGTGGGACACTCTTGTGGAAAAGCCTGGGAGGGCCCCAAGGAGGCCCCGGGTTTGAGTCCAGGTTCCGGGCCCACTGAGGTCCTGGGTGTGCACACCCGTCTGTGCCCACTGTCCCCTCTACCTGGCACTGACTGTTGGTGGCCTGTTGCACCTGCCCAGGGAGATGGAGGAGCTGCACCTGTCCACCTGTCCCCCCGCGGTCTCCTGGGTTGAGCTCTGTAGAGACACTGTCTGGTGTCCCGCACAGGGACCAGCAACACTAGAGACCGGCCTGGGCATGACCGCAGAGGTAAACTCATCATAAATCCTGTCCCCCTGATCAGGGTCAGAGGGGCATCTGCGGAGACCTCCAGCTGGGAGGGAACAAATGACACCTCAAGGGCCCAGGATTACAGGTCGGTAAAGAAGCTTGTCCCAGCCCTTGCTTCTTATCTGCCAACGATGACTTGGGCTGTAACTTGACAGACCCACCGGGCTTCCAACACCTAAGAAATTGCTGCTGCTGTTGCCCAGGCAGGGCCCCCCGCCGTTGTCTCCCACCCCAGTGCGCACACACAAGAAGAGGCGAGGGCTGAGCGGCTGCCCATGGGGGATCACAGCGGTGGTCTTACCTCGACTGGCCTGCCCTGCGTGGCCATACGTTACCAGAGGTTACATGCTGCTCGAGGAGCGCGGGTGTTGGAGGGGCGGTCAGAGCCACTGTCTACAGTGAGTGAAACAGCTTTCCCAACCAGCTTTCCAGAATCCACAGCCTTGGGAAGTTGGGAGGGAACTGGGAACATGCTGCTCTCTCATCTGCCTCCAGCCAAGTGAGCCGGAGAGAGGCCAGTCTCCAGAATGTGCGTACCTGGTTACCAGAGTTCTATCTTCTGTCTTCTTCTGTCACCAAGGATATGAGGTCACCTTCCTCAAGAGTCCATTATCTGGCCCCGGCTGGTGTGGACTGAGCGCCAACTTGCAAACCAAAGGGTTGTGTGTTCGATTCCCAGTCAGGGCACATGCCTGGGTTGTGGGCCAGGTCCCCAGCTAGGGACATCAAACCACACATTGATGTTTCTTTCCCTCTTTTTCTCCCTTCCTTTCTCTAAAAATAAATAAATAAAATCTTAAAAAAAAAAAAGGAGTCCATTAACTGGGCCCCTTCCTTCAATCAGACCCACTCAGAGCCCCCTCTGGGCCGGTGACGGCTCACCCTCCTCACCCATGTCACCTCTGTAACTGTACACAGGCGTCGGACACAGCCTTCCACATTGCTCTGTAGAAATGTACCCAGGGTCCGAGCTTTGAGGAGACAGAGCTGAGTTTAGACCTGTTATATTCTGACCATTCTGTGTCCTGGAAAAGCCGTTGTGCCTCTCAGGGCCTTTGCAGTGTCCCAATCCGGGCACAGGGGAATTAATGCCAGAGACTAATTCCTGGGGACATCGGCAGGTGTGTATGACATAAACCTACAACACCTGTGGGCTGGTGTCCCCTGTGCCTGAGGCAAAACCTCAGAGACGGCAGAATTACAGAAGCGGTGGGACGGAGCATGAACACCAATCAAAACAGGCCTGGGTTTCTGGTTTGTGATCTTGGGAATGTCCAATGCTTCTGAACCACCTTAAGGTCTGCACTTTTAAGGGACTGAGATTAAGGAAATTCAGACATTGCCATCTGCTAGCATGGAAGCTTCTGTGGTCCCCTGTCACACCTGAAATCATACGTTGTACCTCCTGTGAGCATCTGGAAGGACATGTCCTAGATGTCTCTTGGGATGTGGAGCTCAGGCAGCACAGCCCTCCCATAGCCCTCTAGGAAGTTGGGGACTTACCTGGGGCAGGGGACAATTCCAGGGCCAGTGGTGGCTCTGGGCATGAAGCTCCTTGCACTGTGGCTGGCTCTGTATCTGTGGAGAGAGTAGCGTGTGGGAGCTGAGTGCTCTTCTCGGGCAGGATTTTCTTGGGTTTTAAGGGTGTGACCAGGAGAAAGCACCAATGAGTCAAATTTCAAACACCCGCGTGTGTGTGTATGTGTGTATGTGTGTATTATATATAATGATATTATATGAAATTCTGAATTAACATATTACTCAAGGACAAAAAAATAAAGATCTAGAAGTGTATATCTCATTTGAGAACATAGATATAACAGCTCTTTAATGAAATATTATGTTGGAATTTATTGGAATACTAACACCCATAAAAACATTATCCATTCTGAATGGGTAGGTGTGCGCTCTGACTGTGAGGGCGAACCCTGGAAAATTGCACGACTTGGATCATTCTCCACTGGCTTCGCAATACAAAAAAAAAAAATGTACATAGCAAATGAAAATGAATATGAAAAACTAATATGTCCATTCTTTCCTCACCTAAAACCCAATCTCTCACCTCAAAAAAAACCATAAGCAACTAAGAAAAGGCTTCCAGCTGCCCCGGGAGGTCCTGTCCTGGCCCCGCACGGAGCCCTGCGGCTCACACTCAGCGACATGGTTGTGCTGTGCACATCCTGAGCTCCTGTGAGGACCTGGCGTTCCCTGCCCACACCAGGGGGCCCATACCACGTGGGAGTTCAATACTGAAGACTGAACTATTTTAGCCCAGAGAGCAGAGCATGTGCACGTCCCACGTGAAGAAGAGGAGGGGGAAGCTCCACTAGGCCTCCAACTCCCCTTGGGACCCTCAGCACGCTGCATCCTGGGCCTCAGCCCATCTTCCCTGAGCGCCCTCTTCAAACCTCCGTCCAGGCCCAGGCCACTGCCCCCCAGAGCTGCTCTGGGCTTCCCGAGACAAAGCTGGCAATGCGCCCCTTGCCGGCTGAATTCAGCCTGGACCACTGCAGCCTGGGGCCCTGGCCCTGCTCTGCATTTAGACCTCTGCCTCCCGCCCTGAATCTGCAGATCATCCAGGAGGCTCAGAGATGTCTCTCCTAAGGGGATTGTCCCCGAGGACCCACCCCACAATCAAGAACTGGCACGCGCAACTCAGGGGCACGGAGCCCCTGCCCCTTCCAGTGCATCTGGACAGACTCTATCTTACTCATCATTCTGGTCTGGGTTACACTTCCAATGGGAATGTTGGATTTCTTGAGTTTTAATATATTGTTATAAAAGCGCACTGGCTCTATTTGTGTTTACTTTTAAAATGTTTTTGTTCAAAAATTTGAAATCCCATATGGTGTAGTATTGTTTCTATTGGAATTGGCTGGACAAAACGTAGGAGAGCTAAGCCCAATGAGTGGGCAGTAATGAATTCCCAAGACAAAGGAAGCTCTGCCACCTTCCAAGAAGCTGCAGTTGACCCCACAGCACATATGCATGCGCGCACTCATACTGTGAGGTGATTAAAAAAACTAACATATTGTGGTCAGCATTTTACAATATACACATATATCAAATCATAATGCTGTATACCTTAAGCTTACACAATGTTATATGCCAATTATATCTTGATAGATCTGGGATGAAGGAGATAAATCCAGATAGATCTGGATTTATCTGGAGTTTCATAGGAACCACATTTGTAGTTATCTTGGTAGATTTGTAGTAGTGGGTGTAGGTGGTGTGTGTATAGAGAGTGTGTGGGTAGTATGTATTATTCCACTTTGGTTGAAGATCAAAACAGGTATTATTTTAGCAGTTGTTTTTTTCCTTTAAGAAAGCAGATGTTTGTATTTAAGTGCTGATGAGTAGAGAGGAAGATATCCACTGTCTTTAGTACCGGGCATATCATAGGTGCTTAATAAATTTGTTCCAAAATTTTTTTAATACAGAAAAAGAGCATTGTTACTATGATAAAGTTAATATGATTTGGAAGAGAGTTCATGGCACCCTTAAATGTTTTTCAATCTTTTCCACCCAGGGCAGTGAGTCCTGTCTTCTCAGCATGTCAAAGCCAAGGCCCACATGAGGGGGGAGACTCTGTGGGCAGCGGGGGCAGGGCCTACTATCCAAGCCCAGGGAGGCGCCCGGCTGCGGGGACCCTCAGTGAGGGCTCAGCGTCCCTCTGACCCTCCCACTGTTGGTGGGAGTGCAGCCTGGTGCAGCCACTGGAAAACAGTATCACGTTTCCTCAAAAAATTAAAAATGAAACAGCCTTTTGACCCAGCAATCCTACTTCTGGGAATATACCTTAAGAATCACAAAAAACCAACTCAAAAGAATATATGCACCCCTACGTTCATAGCAGTGTTATTTACAATAGCCAAGATTTGGAAACAGCCCAAATGCCCATCAGTAGATGAGCGGATCAAAAATCTGTGGTACATTTACACAATGGGCTACTACATGGCTGTAAAAAAGAAGGAAATCGTACAGTTTGCAGCATGGATGGACCCATGCTAAGTGAACTAAGCCAGTCACAGAACAACAAATGCCATATGATCTTACTTATATGCAGAATCTAACAAATAAAAATAAACGAACAAAACAGAAACAGAGGCATGGATGCACAGAATAGACTGACAGCTCTCAGAGCGAGGCGGGGTGGGGGGCCGGGATGCATGGAGGTGAAGGGGTTAGCCGAGGGACACGAATAGATAACTCACAGACACAGACCACAGTGTGGTGAGGGCCAGAGGGAAATGGGGGCGAGGGGAGGGGGAGGTGGCCAAAGGGGAGGGGGAATGGGGTCAGAAGGAGGCTTTGCTTGGGGTGATGGGCACACGGTGCAGTGTGCAGATGATGTTTTATTGAGTTGTACCCTTTAATCCTGTATGGTCTTGTAACCAATGTCACCCAATAAATTCAATTAAAAATTTACAGTCATTTCTGCTAATATTAACAAACAAAAAAATAAAATCAACAACCTAAACTATTATCTTACCAGACTTGACATGATACCAAACCCAAAGAAGCGGGAAGGAAATAATAAAAATTTGTGCAGAAATGAATGAAATAGGAAATAGAAAAAATCATGCAGAATGTCAGTAAAAACAAAACGGGTTCTTCTGTTGGGCGGGACAGGCTCCCAGGGACAGTGCACGCAGGCGCGCCTGGAATTCATGGACGACAAAGCTTCTCCATCACCGCAACTTGAAAGGCCCCCGTGAGCGAGGGCGATGTGCTCACTCTATTGGAGTCAGAACAAGAGGCTCCAGGCCATGCTGAATTTGTGACTAGGTCCTGGATGTCTGGGTGGACCACATGGCCCATAGGTATGATGCTCGACTGTTAATAAAACATTTATACAGAGTATTTGTATGTAAAAACAAGACAAAATAGAATGTCTAAGGAATCCACTAAAAAATTTTTGGAACTAATAATTGAGTTAAGCAAGATTATAGAATTCAAGGTCAAAATATAAAAATCAATTATATTCCTATACACTTGTAATGAACAATCTGATAATGAAATTAAGAAATGCATTTACAATATAATCAAAAAATGAAATACTTTAAAAAATTTAACAAAATAGGTACAAAACGCATACTCTGAAAATGACCAAACATGTCAAAAAATGAATAAATGTATAAATAAATGGGAAAACATCCCAATTTCATGGATCAGAAGATTTAACATTGATTAAGTGCCATGATCCCACAAAATGATCTAGAGATTCAGGGCAATACCTATCATGATCCAGCTGTAATCTTTATAGAAACTGGCAAGCTGCTTCATAAATTTATGTGGGATTGCAAATGAACCAGATTCACCAAATCCATTCTTGAGAAAAACAAATAGGTCTAACATTTCTTGAATTCAAAACCTTTTTATAAACCAAAGAGGA